GCGATGATGATGTAGACATCAATGCTGGACCGGCATACCATCCAACGGTGATGGGGGAGACATCAATGTTGATTTGGCATACCATCCGGCGGTGATGATGTAGACATCATGCTGGACCGCCGTAGCATCCTGCGGAGATGGGTAAGACATCAACGCTGGATGGGTGTACCATCCGGCGGTGATGATGTAGACATGAAAGCCAAACTGGCGTACCATCTGGTGGTGATGGGGGAGACATCAACGTCAGACGGGAGTACCATCTGGTAGTGATGATGGAGGCATCAACCCCGGACGGGCATACCATCCGGCGGTGATGTAGGTACCAGCGCAGCGCTGGTCGGCGTTCCATCCATCAGTAATGAGGGTGGCAACACCGCCGTCATTGCATTTGTTCAGTGGTAATGTCTTGTCCATTACCGCCAACAATGGCACTGTACATCATTGTTCATAATACAATTATAGTAATAATACAGAAACTTCATGGCTTACATTGCCAACAACATATATATACAGAGACAATGTATTGTATCCAAATAAACATCACCACCGAGACACAAATCCATACAACAAATCCAACCACAGTGACATATATAGTTTTTAGAACACAAACAAACATAAGATCATCCATAATGAAATCAGCATTACAAGGTGAAGAACATTAGCACCTTGATTAGATAAGGTGATGGTGTCCACGTGGACTCAGGACTTGGTCCATAATGAAACCAACAAGCTCTTCTTGCAGCCCAGATATCTCTAAATCCGTCAACTCTGCTGTAGATGACACTAGTGTCTGCAACACAAGAAAAAGGTGAAACACAGTTAAGACATGCTTTGCTATACACTCTAATTAGGTCACTAGGTCGTCAATTCACTAAGGGGCCGAGGGCAACCTATGAGCTAGAGTAGACAACTTGGATGAGGTTGTGCATGTAATGCATGACATAGAACCCGCATCTATAATTGCCCATGGCCTACGTTCTCATCGAATCGGCGTCGAGTACTTTGAACCCAAAATTCCAATAGAAATGATGTTTCTTGCTCTTTTTCTTGTACTTGTTGGACCTGTGTGACAAGTTCATGACAGTGACATATGATGATCAAAGCTAACTAACAAATAATCCTATCGTTGGCAATGTAGGAGTAGTAGCTTGTCTTACTTGTTCAACGTGTCAATGAAGGGTTGGATATTCTCTCGTGGGCTCCTTCGAGAATCAAAAATTGTGAGAGTTCATGTCTCTAGGTTGATGTCAAGGACATAATGGCTACTACATTCACCATGCCCAGCTGCTAATTAGGCTCAACCCTGAAATATGTAATGGAGTAGGAAATTAGGCATTTACAACACACTTACTTGCAATTGTAGGCTAGAAGTATCGAGGATTTGTCTTGCTGGGCAAGAAGCCCTTTGTCAATTCATTGATGGTGGTAGTGTCCTGTATTGTGCGGCGATTGTATATCACTAGGTTCAAGAAGCCTATGTCAATCCCTATCAACCTACATGTGCGTGCCTCCTTCCTACAAAACAATGTGTAGTTGTTAAAAATTGTAGCACACTAACATTTATGAACATTATAGTAGATTAATATTGAAATAGTATTAAGTTAACAACACCACCACAACATACAATATCATCGATTTTTGGGTCATCTAGCTGGGTGACTTGGGTGGCTCTCTCGTCCCCCGCCTAGCACCTCCCGCAACCCAAGTTGTGCCTTCACCGCCGCCGGAACTACCGGCCGGTTGCCCGGCAAGCAGCGAGGAAGCGGCAATGAGGCAATCCCTCCCTTCTCCTCATCCAACCCTCTCCCTTCTCCCTTCTTTGAGGTCATCGTCCTAGCTCGCTCTGAGTTCTAGTGGTTGGATTTGCGTGAGCGATATGATCTAGTGCGCGGCAACGGGATCTACGGGGCCTCATGGTGGGGGGTACCCGAGCCCTCTCCTTCTGCCCCCTTCTGCTCTTGACGGCCAAGGTCTCTTTGTCGGGGGTACGGAGGTGGCTATCCCAGACTTAGGGGGCAGCGGCGATGGTCCTCCATGGTCGGTTGTTTTGTGCTGGCACGGCCAGATCCGGGCCTGGCCTCTGATGTGGGCCCAGGGGTTGGGCTTCGGCTTAGCCTGGCTTGGGTGTGGCGCGGTGGCCTCGCACCTCAGCCTACTCACAGCGCAGGCACGGTCCATCCTCCGGCGTGGCGTACACTACAAAAAATGTGGCTATACATGACAGATTACGTAGCTAGGCACATTCGTGTGGCCGTGTGGTCGGTGAGGGCTACCTGAGCCCTCTACGCACCCCTCCCCATGTCGGCATTGGTTGGTCAGGCTCACTACTTGCCACCCTCGATTGGATCCCATAGGAGGTGGCAGTCTCTGCGCTAGGTGGTGGCGGGATCTGCGCTGGCTGATGCTCGATCTGCGTGGACGACGGTAGTCCCACGCACTTGGGCTTCTGTTGGGACTACTCGGTAGGGGTAGGGGCATTGGCAGTCCAGGTGGCTTGGGCTTCTACTATCCCTAGCCCTCTCCTTCCTGCCATGTTCCTTCCCCTTGCTCAAGCTAGTCCCATGGCGGAGCTCGGGGTGTTGTCATGCGGCTGCGCATGCAGCGAGGATGCTCACGGTACACGTGGTGGCGTCGGGTGTCGGCGAGGATGCCTGCTTTCGACACTGGCGCCTTCCTTCATGTCTGGCCCCCTTGCGGTGGGCATGGGCAAGCTGTGGTGAGTGGGTGCGAGAGAGATCTTGGCAAAAGCTTGGATGGCGACGTCCACGGACGTCGTTTCCTCCTTGGAGGCATCCTTCTGGTACATCTTCTCCCACCCAGCTAGGTTTTTTGTGGGTGAAAACCTTCCCTTGTCAGGCCTGCGATGACGACGCCTTTGGCGTCGTTTCATTCTTGAAGGCGTCGCGAGGCTTTCCAGCTCCCCTCTAATGTCCCGCTCCTGCTATCTAGCTATGGTGGTGCTTTAGGTTCCTCTGCGGGTGGTGCTTGGCACGTTTGGGGTGGTGCTTGGCACGTTTGGGGTTCCACCCATAGTTGTTTTAGTTGTGTAGTTGCTAGTTATAGGTTAATTAACGGAGTAACAATTGTCGTGTTCTTACATGTCACCATCGAGTAGATGAATGAAATGCGGTCGCGAGCCGACGAATTCACCGGTCAATCGCTTCCTTTACATGTACTTCCTCCGTCCCAGAAGGAAAGTCGCTATGGGATGTGTGCAGGTCTAATTTTCTTAACTTGGACTAGATTTATAGAAAATGCATGCAACATTTATATCTCCAAATAAGTTTATTATGAAAGTTTATTCAACGATCTATCTAATGATACTAATTATGTATTATGAATATTAATATTCTTTTATATATAATTGGTCAAAGTTAAAAAGGTTGACTTCTCAGAAAGCGAGAATGACTTCTATTTTGGGACAGAGAGAGTATTTTGTGAGTTGAATAGCTCATTGCCTGCCCTGCGCAGGCCGCTGGTCCTCGTTATCCCGATGGCAACCGAGGTTTGGCATCTCCGAGAGGGAGACTTAGAAACTACCTGCCAAGAAGCCATCCCGTGCTGATCCTTCCGACCCGAACATGTTATAGTCGGATTAAGCCCAGTGGTGGAGCCAGGAATTCTAGAGAGCCTGGGCATGACAATACGCCGAGCTAACGGTGACAAGCAATGCACATGAATATATTATATAACATACATATAAAATTAGGAAACCATGATAAATCCAAATTAAAATATTAAAATGATTTTTCAGTACACAAGTTCACGACTTAGATAATGAAACACAAAAGATAAACCTAAATGCTAATCGGTAAAAAGCAAAAAACGCATCTTCCCTAAATAAACCTAGATGTCTTTCAGGTCCATTTTCTATCAACCAAAAAACACCTCATCCCTAAATAAAAAATTAAGAAATATACATTTATAAGGGCAAGGTCATAGACCATCCATCGAATTTAACCTCTGCATATTAGATAACTCTGAAATTAGTCAAATTACCTGGTTGGCTCAACCTCCTCCCCTCTGCCATTTGCAACTTTTGCTCAACATAGCAGGGCAGCAGGTGGCGCCTCTCTGGATTCGGAGATTCCTATTAGTTCCACGGCTGCCACCAGTCGCTGGCTCTGCCTCACGCCCTCGCCGGACTCCGGCCACCAGCCACAGCCTGCTTCGATTGGAGATTGGGGGATTGGGGATTGAAAAAGAGGCAGGACGGCAGGACATAGATAATAAAGGGCTGAAGGAGGGTTGGGACTGGCCTGGGATTCGATTCGGATTGAGCTCGGCGCACAAAGCGTCGCTTCGGCCTCCCCGCCATGGAGTAATGGCCAGTCCAGTGGTAATGGCGTCTCCTCGGTCTCTCATCCGTCCAGCGGCGTGCCGCGACATCGAGCGCTCGCACGCTCTCGTCTCCTATCGGAAGCCACGGCGACGCCCCTCCTATCGGACCTGTAGGTCTGTACTGGGCCTTTGGGCCTAAAGCACAAGTAGGCGGGGAGCCCGGCCAACGGCCCAGGGTGGCCGGGCCTTGGCTCCGCCAGTGGATATCAATCACCTACGTTTGTTTATAAACTGAACTCCAGTTCAGAAAAATCATATAGGAGTATGTTTGCTAGAGTTTAGAACTTCAGACTGGAGACTGGCTAGCCAGGTGACTGAGTGTTTGCAGCCTACCAATCGATTTTGTGTTGAATTTTTAGTGCACCTGGATGTCTGTCATCACAGGTTTCGTGTCGATTTTAACAAAAATTTTTAGTGCACTTGCTTGTCTAGTGTCTGTCATCTCAGTGGATAGTCAAGTCTTCCCTTCGGCTACGCTCCACATAACACGGTCTGCATCCTCTCGATCGATCAGTTGACCATCAGGCGCCAATAATTCATCCACTGTTCATCTCATCGAGCAATTATCGCGATGGGCGCGGGGTCATCGTCCTCCACTCCACTCGGCGGACCTGCCGCAGCTGCTGTGCTGCGCGTGCGTGGAGCAGTCGACGGTGGCCATGGAGGAGACGTGCGGGCGGTACGACACGGTGCTGAATCCGGGCTGCCACTTTATGCCCTGGTGCGTCGGCCGGAGGGTCGCCGGCTACCTCTCCCTCCGTGTGCAGCAGCTGGACGTCCGCTGCGAAACCAAGAGCAAGGACAACGTCTTTGTCACCGTGGTGGCGTCCGTGCAGTACCGCGCCATCGCCAACAAGGCCTACGACGCCTTCTACCGCCTCAGCAACGCCCGGGAGCAGTCCTACGTCTTCGACGGTAACCATCATTTGTTCCCTTTTCATCAGTTTGTCTACTCTTTCATGTGTTCTTGTGATGGATGATGGACGATTGGTCGATGCAGTGATCTGTGCGAGCATGCCCAACATGAACCTGGACCAGGTGTTCGAGCAGAAGAACGAGGTGGCGCGGGCCATGGAGGAGGAGCTGGCCAAGGCCATGATCATGTACAGCTACGAGATCGTGCAGACGCTCATCGTGGAGGCCGAGAAGATACAGCAGGTGAAGCGTGCCGAGGGGGAGGCCGAGTCCAAGTACCTGGCCGGCATGGGCGTCGCGCGCCAGCGGCAGGCCATCGTGGAGGGCCTGCGCCGGTTCGTGCCCGACGAGAAGTCCGTCATGGACATGGTCCTCGCCACGCGGTACTTCGACACCATCAGGGACATCGGCGCCACGTCGCGCGCCGCCACCGTGTTCATCCCGCACGGTCCCGCCGCAGTCCACGATGTGGCTGCGCAGGTCCGCGACGGCGTGCTCCAGGCCGCGGCGTACGCTCCCGGCGCCGGAACCAAGTGACCGGCCGGCGCAGTGGCGCATGGTACCTTTCCTAGCTCTGTTGCCTGTCTATTCTTGGTTCTTGGACATGTACCATGTATGTATTCGAAACGTGGCCATCTGTATGTGTTTTGGTACCTTGTGTTGAACCATCACTTTACTTATTACTAGAGTGAAATACTCAAATGTATACTTCGAGGTGTGTGTGTGTGTTAGTGTATATACTACCACTATTTTCAAATTATAACTTATTCCAACTTTTTTTACTCAAAATTTAACCAAAATTATAGAGAGACCTACGAAGATTTATGACATCAAATAGGTATACTACAAAAATATAATTAATGAAGATTCTAATTATATTTATTTGGTATCATAAATATTATTTTATTATATAAATTTGGTCAAATTTAATATGCTTTGGCTGTCCAATAAAATTAGAATCACTTATAATTTAAGATAAAGGGAGTACGTACAAAACATCAGAATCTTTTATATATGAAAAAACTGTTAGTTTGATCTCCACCAATTGGCCCAACGGCCAATCGGACCCCTTGACCGCGTCCTAATCGGGGACGCTTAACCGACCACTGGTCGACGGGACTTTGTCACACAGCGCTACATAAAGAGAGAGGTGGGGGCCATGGCACGGGTGACGAGGTTTACCGCCGCCACTGACCCACCGAAGAACCCTAGAAGCTCCTCCGATTGCGGGCGCGCTGCAAGTGACGGGAAGCGCCGCTGGCCGCGCCCTCGTCCTCTGGACTCTACCGGGCTGCACTCCGTTCTTCCTCCTCTACCTCCTCTGACAACCCCAAAGGTATGTGCCTCTCTCTCTCTCCCTCTCCCTTTCCCGATTCATGTTCAAGATCATTTTGATTCAACTAGTATCGGATTCTCCCTCTAATCTACACCTAGATGATCCTAAGAATCTAACAATGGTATCAAAGCCAAGTTGCTAGTTTGTAGATCTAGTTTGAGATAGCAGCAATTATAAGGAGGTGAGAGATCCGATTCGGATCTAAGCAAAAGGGTTCAATGCGAACCCAAACCCTAATCGGGGTGAAGAAAAGAATAGTAAAGGGGTCTCGGTTTTGAGAACAACTCGAACCCTAACCCTAACCCGCGAAGACATACGGGGAAGTTGAACAGTAGGGCTAACCCTAACCCTAACCCTAAATCGGACCAGCTCCGAGAAGAAAAGAAACAAGATCCAAACAGAGAAGATCAAGGGGAAAGGGGAAGGGCTAGGGAGGCGGCTTACTTCGCCAGCCTCCACACACCGGATCACCCCGAGAAGGGCCTCCGCGCTGGTGTACTACGGTCGTGCTAGGGCGGCGCGCTCACCCGCTGGGGAGCGCACGCTAGCGAGCGGGCCAATGACGGCACTACCATCGCTCAGGTGGCTCTCTGCGCTCACTCGTTTGGTGTTGAGCCGCTCAGAGAAAGAATGTTGAGAGAGGAGTGAGTTAGGGTTCGAGGAATGGAGTCGTGCGGAGTCAAGGGCATCGTTGCCTAGACCGCTCGACAGCGGCACGCTCAGCCTCGGGCGAGCGAGCTCATCGGCGAGGGGACCGGCGGCAGCGCCACTCTGCTGTGCCTCTCGCCTCTCCGCCATGGCGCGGAGGAAGGAAGAGAGAGAAAGCAAAGTGACGAATGGACCTAGGGTTTCTACGGGAGCGGCCGCGGCGGGGTTTTTACTCGGGCGAGAAGCGCAGACGCCCGTCGGATACATTTCAACGGCATGCAGCACTCGGGCTGGATTCAGCCCAGGCGGGCGAGTGATTTCCCGGCCCAGGCCTAGGTTGCGGCCTGGGCACGGGGATGACACGGCGCGTGAGGCTAGCTAGGCCGACTTTCGCCGCTGAGCCGCGACAGCGCACAGCGCGCGAGTGTTTTTGGCCCAAATGCACAGTGACGATTTTTGTTTTGTTTTATTATTTTCAGAAGCAAATTTTTGAAGATTTTTTGTCTAGTTTGAATCTCTGTCAAAATTTAAACCAACAGGGTAATTTTTTCGATAGTAGATGAGTAAAGTAAAATGCTTCTGAAAAGTAGATAAATAATTTTCTCATGTTTCCGCAGTAAAGTTTATGTTGATTATCTTCTAATTAAATTCAAACCAACGGAAGAATTTAATTTGAAGAGCAGTTATATTTAGTAAATTATGATTATGTTTATCCTCTAATTAAATTAGAACCAACAGGAAAATTTAAATTAGAGGAGTAGTCCGTTTTGTTTAAGTAAGATTATGGTATTGTCATTTTCTGATCAACGTTGATGATGACAATATTATAACGAATTTAAGTTTGAAGTTTAAATCTCTAAAAAATTTTACACCAATATGGTGAATTTTTCAAAGAGTAGATAAGGACCAAGAAATGCTCCTGAACTAAAAGAATATATATTTTATTATTAAGTTTTCGCTGCAATGATATTGATTATCTTCTAATTAAATTCGAACCAACGGGAGAATTTAATTTTGAAGAGTAGTTATATATATTTCAAGTTAATTTATGAGTTTTATGCATTAATTCTATTTTCTGCTCAACGGTGATGTAGAATTGATGCAGAAGCACCTTGTATGTTTTAATTCGACGAGATCAATCGGCTGCATACCAACGGACTGCAATGCTGGGGTATGTGAATGAAAACGCTTGAGTTAAGCCAGTTCAGGACTGTTAACTAATTTTCTGATTAAATTGGAACCAACGGAAAGATTTAATTGAAAGATGAAGTATAAGTGAATGTTTTAGTCGTCATGACTAAATTTTCATTATAGTAAATTGTGTATAGATTATCCCGCATGGGGAGAAGTTTTGGCATAGTACTTATGCTAGTCAATCCTGCATGGCGAGAGAAGTTTTGTGATGATTCACATGTTTTGTATCCCGCATAGCGAGAGAAGTTTTAGGTAGCTCTTATGCTGTCCTAGTATTGACCGTGGCATAATAGAAATGCATCGTTATGGTCAATACTAACCTAAAGATAAGAAAAGATGCAAGCGTGACTTGCAAAAGTACTGTCAATGAAAGACCTCATTGAGTTCTTGAAGTGAAATAAGGAAAGTGTACTCCTAAACGGATCAAAAAATAACTTTGTTTACATGACATAATCATGTGAATAAAGTAAGTTATAAGTGTCTCATCGTTTACAGGCTTTCCGAATAGTTCTTGAAATTATGGCAGTAAAGTTCATGCCATATTTCGAGGGGGAGAATATTAAGATCAATTAAGAAAAATACTCTTCATTAAGAATGAGATAAAGATTAATTAAGATGAAACCGTTGGAGGAGTACAACGGTCACAACAATGGTACCCCTAAACAGAGAAATAGCTAAATTCATAGACCTTTTAAAGTTCTGACAGGAAGATAGCGTAGTCAGCCTCAAAAATGTTAAGGTGGTGCTTAAAGCGCCATATGAAGTTTTTAACGGATTAAAACTAAAATAAGATATTTGAAGATACACTATCTTTAGAAAAGATGGAAAGATCTTGGGGAGCATGGTATGTAGAGGTATGTAGAGACCTAAGACTTAAAGAGAAGCAGGACTGCGTGCCCACTTCAGTGATTCAAAACAATGAATTTCTCAATACCTGTTGATGTTGTATGACTTATACAACATCTGTTGTTGACTTTTCAAAGAAGATGAATAATGTAAACAAGGATCTTGTAATACAGGAGCCTGTAGAATCAATTGCCTCTTGACAATGAAGAGCAACAATAGCCACATATGAAAGTACCAGTAGATGAGGCCCCAGAAGGTCTCAAAGAATTAGTAAACCAGTTTTTCTAATGACTATGAAGTCTATGTTAATAAAGAAATTCAAATAGAGGATGATCCCATCTCATTTGAAGAAGCCATGAGAAGCGTTTACCCGTTTAAATGGCAAGAAGCTATGGAAGTTGAAATGAATTTGATGAATACCAACGATGTTTGGGACTTAGAAGAAATTCCTAATGAAGCCAAAACAGTAGGTTGTAAAAGGGTCTACAACACAAAACGTGACTCAAAGGGAATGTAGAAAGATATAAAGCATGACTTGTAGCAAAAGGCTTTACGCAAAGAGGATGAATAGATTACGATGGAAATTTTCTCTCCAGTTTCATGCAAGGATTCTTTAGAATCAAAATGGTGTTATTGGCACATTACGATGTAGAGTTACATCAGCTGGATGTAAAGACGGCATTCCTCAACGGGGATTTGTATGAAAACGTTTACATGGCACAACCCAAAAGTTTTGTCGTGGAAGCAAAAGAACGTATGGGATGCCGCCTGTAGAAATCCATTTATGGGTTAAAACAAGTCTCTAGATAGTAGTATTTGAAGTTGATGAAACAAAGAGAAAGTTTGGGTTTTAAAGAAAATGAGAAGGACAATAGCGTTTACGCGAAGTTCAAGAATGGAAAATTCATTTTCCACATCCTGTGAATAGATGACATTCTACTCACTAGTAGTGATGTTAATCTGTCATTGGAGAAGAAGTTTTGTCCTCAAGTTTTAATGTGAATGATTTTGGTGAAGCGTCATTGGTTCTAGGAATCGAAATTCACCGAGATAGAAGAAAATAGGGTATTAGGCCTATCGCAAAGGCATACTTAGAAAATATTCTAAAGAAATAAAATATGCATGCGAGTAAACCTACGCCTACTCCTATAGTCAAGGGTAATAGATTTAGAAACTTTAAGTGTTCTAGGAACCTATATGAGATCGATCAAATGAACATGGTTCCATTTGTTTCAGCTGTTGGAAGCTTGATGAGTGTACAAGTACAAGTAAGAACTTACCCTGACGTAATCTACGTATCCGAGATATTTTGACAGAAGTCCAGTCCAGATATAGATCACTGGAATAGAGTTAGGAATGTCTTGCAATTTTGCAAAGTATCAAAGGCCTCATGCTGAGTAAGAAAGAACAAGTACTCTCAAATAGTTGTGGGTACAAATGTTAAGTTTCGGCGAGATGTATAGTGAAATCCACAGTAGTTGCTAACACTCGTAGTTGGAGTATTATTGTGGAA